ATTTCGCCCCAAGCAAGACGGGAGTGCCACTCGCACGCAAGGGTTTACAGAGAGAGAGAGAGAGAGCAAGAGTAAAGAGGGGGGGTGTTTGAGGAAAGGATATAGAGGGGGATCGGGATCAAGGCATCAGAAGATGTCGATTGACATTACATTTGAATATTTGAAGATTATAGCTATCAGGGGAGCAAGTTAGAGGGAGGGATTTCCACTGTCCGGAGGTGCGAGAAAAGAAGCTGTTGGATCAGAAGGGGCGGTTACATTTACGTTCTTCGACAGTGAAATGGTGGGACCGAAATGCCAACCTAGTAGCACACATAAATTCATGCAGTTTGGGTACCATTGAAAGTAGCTCGTCCGAGCAGTTGCCATGAAAATATTTGTAGAAAAGACAGAGGGAAGCCAATTCACGTCTGTGAGAAAATGACTGTGGACGATATTCCAGATCAGGACCTATTACATTGCATATCCGTCTCTGGATTTTGTCGAGGACTTCGAGATGAACCACGGGGTTACCAGACCATATATGGTAAACTTCCGGGATTTACTAAAATTTGATTGATGCTTGTTATTATTTTTTAACTTAGGATTCAGTTTTGTTTTGTTTTTTAATTGTTTTAATGTTAAGTCGCTCAATGCAAGGCCCAAGAGCCGCTGAAGGTAGAGGCTTACTTAATGAGATTGTCGTAAGGAAGGAAGGAGGAGGAAGTAAGAAATGAATATTATAAGGAAATGTAGGATAGATATCGTTTCACCCCTGGACTTAAAAAGACCAAAAAATTATTTGCCTGACAAGCATCCTATTGGTAGTTTCTTCTTTCAAAGCAAAAGTTCTTTATCAAATGAACACAAGGGAAGGTGGGGAGGTCCTTTGCTACGGGGAATATGACATGGCGGATCCTAGCTGTGAAGGTTCGAACTGGTGGATCTAAGGAATGCAACTTGTGTGAACTTCTGACAGAAATCGCTATAGATTAGTGAGAGGCTAGTAAAGCTTCGTCTCTGAAATAGGTACAGAGGGGAGAATAATTCATCACCCGCAAGGTCGCGTATACGTTATTTAGACAGGAGGATTTTGCGGCACCAAACCAGATATATCAGCAATACTCCATTTTTAAATCTGATAGAGCAAGACAACGGCAGGTACGTATTTCCTGGAGTGATGCAAAGACCAGAACATTCTTCCAGTATCTTTTGCGATGTCAGAAATATACGCGTCCCATTTGAAGTCGCGAGTAATTTTAAACCCGTTAGGCGATGGACGAAATGAGCCTCTTTAAGGGTGTAAACATTCATCAGGATCGGTGCCTGATTAGGGTTTTGCTTCACTTTTGAAGGTATGGGAATAATACAAATAAGCCATTGAGCTGAGAGTTAGGTCAAAGAAGAGATCAGTTGCCAGGTACAGGGCTTCAAAATGTTTGGGGAATATCAAGCAGTCTTTTCCCCATTGTGCAGTGAGAGTTAGGTCAGAGAAAAGAGAGATCAGCTGCCAGGAACTGGTCATAGAGATTTTGGGAGAATGATACCAACAAAATTTTCAACATTAAACTGTGAGAGTTAGCTCAGAGGAGAAATCATATTTGGAGATTAATATCAGCCAATCTTACCTGTGTGAGTTAAGTCAAAGAAGAGATCAGTTGCGAGGAACTAGTCATCGAAACATTTGGAGAATGATACCAGTCTTTTTCCTTATTAAGATCTGAGAATCAGTTCAGTAGAAAGATCAGCAGACAAGAACTGGTCACCAAGATATTTGGAGATTGATACCAGCCAGTCCTATTGACTTGAGAGCTAGGTCAGAGAAGAGATCAGCTGACAGGCTCTGGTCACCAAGATATTTGGAGAATGGTACCAGTCTGTCTTTTCTCCACTGAGCTGTTAGGTCAGAGGAGAGATCAGTTTTCAGGCACTGGTCATCAAGATATTTGGGGAATGATGCCTCTCAGTCTTTTCCCCACTGAGGTGTGAGTTTTAGGATAGAGAAGAGATCGGCTGCCAGGCATTAGTCATCAAAGAATTTGGAGAATGGCAGCAGCATGTCATTTCCCCCTTCAGCTGTGACAGTTAGGTCAAAGGAAAGATCAGCTGCCAGGTTATGGTCATGAATATATTTGGAGAATGATACCAGCCATTCTTTTCCCCATTGAGCTGTGAGATTTTCGTCAGAGAAGCGATCATCTACCAGGTTCTGGTCATCAAGGTATTTGGAGCTACCCTGTGGTAACGTCTGCATATACATTTACTAAGTATCTGAGAATGTTCTCGGGCCGATCGTTGATATAAAGCAGAATACGACTAAGATTGAGGGTTGAGCTTATTATTTTCATAGAAATGTGTTCTCGAAACTAAATCCCTTGCTTGTACTACAGTGATATCTGGAGGTGTATTTTTAGCTTAGGATGCTATTCATATCGGCACCAAAATTGACTACAAAACGAATTTACAGAAAACCTTCTGTGAAACAAGATGAAAATACAATGACGATTTTGTAAATAGTCATAGAATCCTATACTCAGTGTCAGACAGAAATAAAAGTGATATTGAATTAAAATTAGACAACGAAGTACATTTACAAATAATGAAAACTTTACTTATGTACTGTAACCCTCTGACTTGTGGAACTGACTCCCATGAGATTGCTATCTGATCATTACCATCTTAACCTCCTCCTCACGTTTGGCGTTATCTTCCTCACATATCCACATAAGCTGTGCTTCTTATGTGACCTTCTACCACGCGTGTCCCTTCAACGCGTTGTCAAACATCAACAATTTCCTGCCTCTTGTTGCACTAAAGAAATTTTGACTTTTACCATCCCTCTGTGTCCCGGTGGTACGGTGGAATTATGGATAGCGGCTCGTAATGAGGAATCGGAGAACCGAGTTCGAACTCCAATCGGATTCATTACATTCCCTTACGTACTAATACCCTTGGGAAAAACATGAATCCTCTTCTCTCCCCCACCCCAGCTAGGGTAAATAGCAGGACAGACTGGGTTATATAGCCTTAGGTGACAACCGGTCCAGGAGAAGGAAAAAGTGATTTTCAATACCGGCCTCGGCTCCGTCAGGCTATGGGTCTCCCTTCTCTTTAGTTAACCTACTTAAGGCACCCTCCTCCTACGGCTACTCTTTTTCTCCTCTTTTTCCTATTCACGGGCCCCACCCTGTCATCCATTCACCCATATTTACTGAGTAGACTTGTCTCGGTTTTCTTCTACCTTGCTTTGATGTCAGGTGAGTGTTAAATTCACCAAGCCGTCTTTCTTCATAATGTGTCCCAGAAATTTCAACTGTTTCTTTCTGACTCTAGGCAAAGGTCATATTTTCGTTTTCTTTTTCCTTAAATCTTCCTCGCTGCTCACAAGGTCCATCCATTGTATTCTCAGCATCCTTCTGTATAACTATATCTCTGTTCCTTCGATTTTCTTCTTTATTTCAAAAAGAAATTATCCGGCATTCACTGCCATACATCAGAATAGTTATGAAATAGCAGTTATGCTCAATTTTTTTTTTATTTGTTTGCTTCTAACGACATTTTCCAGTTCTTGGTTTGAAACTCACTTCGCATTTATTTATATAAAGCTTTGGATTTCTATGGGCGTCGTCTCTAACTGCTCGGCCCAAAGAATTAAATTTCTAAACCGGCTTCATTTTGATGTGTCTAAATCAAAGTTAACACCTTTGAGTGTCTATCTTACTTTGCATTCTTAACGGTTAGTCCTTTCCTCTATGATTTCCTTTTGCTACATAAAATATGAGTTTTCCTTCTGCCATCAACTATCAAAAAATGTTCTACTAATTCCTTGAAAAGTACAAGAAACGAAACAGGAACAAAATTCGAAACTTATAATTATTCTACGAGTTAACCGAACTAAAATCTTCAATTCATTAATCAGGACGACATCAGGAATCATTATTTACATTTTCACTGTCGTCCTCATCTTTATTTAGACGTTTCGGATTTTGTGTCCTCCAAACTTCATCAGATCCTGTTGATCCGAATAACTTTCAGGGAATTTCAAACTAAAACCTTAATGGCGCTAGATTGTCCCCGTCCCGCTGTCAATGTCTTGAAGGGTATTTCGCCATGTTTTTATTTAGTATTGCTTAGTTCTTGCGCGCCATATTTTTACTGAGTCTAACCAAATCGACAGAAATGAAGGAGGCCAATACGTTGCAATAATAACAAAAAAGATGAGGATAATAGTTTGAATGTAAACAATGTAAATAATAACTCCCCATCTCAGAAATTCAATCAGAAATTCAATAAATTATTATAAATTGAATTTCAGATAATATTTAAGTCGAGTTATTATTTGTATCCACGGCCATTTTGTAATGTATCTTTGCTATTTCAGAGGCTACATATCTAGACCACGTAACGTGAATAGTTTTCTCTCGATGGCTTGCGATGCAAACACATTAAACAATGAATTACGACAAAATTTGCATCTAATAATGTTGTTCCATGAAAATAAGAAGCTCTTCCCAGATAAGTCAGAATTCGGCCGTAAAAATACAGTAATTATTTCTTCTTTTCGAGGGAGAGAGTCTGTAAAATTCCTTTTCAATTCGGTTATCTTCTTTGCGTGAACAAGCAGAAAATAAATTACTAAAGTATATTATGATGAGGTTCTGTGTACTTTCGTTACGACAATTCTTTCTTGAGATGTCCTCCTTAAATACTGTTTTAAGGATGGATACTTCTCACAATCTGGCGGCTGTCTGTTAAGAAAATGTTATTTTGCGGTATTGTCCATTGATGTTTTGGACAGTTTGTAATGAAAGAAAACAATCTCCGACTCATAACACACACACACACACACACACATATATATATATATATATATATATATATATATATATATATGAGAGGTGGTAAGGACCTGATATTTGAAAATGGAAATGATACTATAACAGTAGGTAAGTGAAAGTAGGAAAAATTATATCAAAGCGGCAAATAGAAAACTGAATTTTCTTACACATCTTCATATTTAGTATATTCTTTCTTTCTTTCTTTCTCTCTTTATCTCTCTCTCTCTCTTTACCTGTCTCTCTTTCTACCCGTCTCTCTCTCCCTCTATACCTCTTTCTTGCCCTCTCTTTCTCTCTCTGCATTCTCTTTCTTGATCGACAGGTATACGTCGTAGATTATATAGGGTCGTTTCCGGACCACCGCAATAAAGCAAATATTGCAATAAAGTGAATCAAAGGAAAGATTTTGTTTTTCAAAATATATAAAAAGTTACTTTCACGTTATACAGTAGTGCATTATTATATAGATAATTTATTATCTCTTTCTCCTCTCTACCAATCTATATCTATATGTAGCTATCTATGTATATCTATATCTGTCTATCTATCTGTCTATATATATATATATATATATATATATATATATATATATATATATATATATATATATATATATATATATATTATTATTATTATTATTATTACAATTATTATTTAGATAATACGCTATACGGCATTAGGTCTGAAGAATGAACATATCTTAATTTTAATTACGACCAAAATTTTATTTTATTACGACCAAAATTTCACAGACACGAAATGCTCAAATGCGGTTGACACAACAGCATCGATCAACTGACAGGAGTGCCATAAATTTTTAATTTATAAAAAGTACAGTATCTTCGAAGTGTAAAAAAATGAAGTAAACCTAGATACCAACCTGAGTCTGGGATAAATTTTAAAATATAAGTACATTGGGAAATCTTGTTAGTAAAGTGGGTGCGGGGTATACTTATCTGTATTTAGTTTAGTCTGGTAAAAACCTATAGAACTAGGACACACCCAATGCAGTTCAACAGTCTACCAGACTAACATTCTAACGACTGCTACACGGTGTGGTGTGTAGTGCTTTATTAAATTACGTCTGTTGGAATACAGTGTGTATTCAACTCATTATAATCTTCAGTGGATTGTGAGACGAGCTTGCTAAATATTTCTTCACAAAGAGGCATATATTTTATTCAGTCTCATTTCCTGTCAGAATCTCTTTCCTTCTTCCAATTTGTTTCTCTTACCCAATTCCTCTCACATAAACTAATTTTCTTGCTCACGTCTTTCCTCTGTTTTCCTTGTTCGCGCTCGTCTTTGACTTCTCTCGCTAGAACAAGAATCGATAAATCGATCACATTGATCGATACGATTTTCATCTGTAGGCGGAAACAAAAAGCAGAAAACAACACAGCGAAACACATGTCTTTTCCACCAATTGCTTTTTCTTCAATGCCATGGATTTTCGGAATGTTTTTTTGTCTTCTTCTTCTTCTTCTTCGATCCGTATTTTCTGTCTACAGAACAGAATCATGGATTTGTTGGTTATCTTTGCCGCTTTATTACACCATCTTCTGATCAGGGTCTGCCCGCCATCTTTCCACAACTTTTACACTTGATGCCCTTTAACAATTCAATGTGGAAAACAAACGAAGCAGCATTTTGGCAATCAATGGATCAATACGAGTCGATCGATCAATTCAAAATTCCAACAATTGCATGACTCTTCAGCAGGGGGTCTTCAAATCTTCCGTCTCGCCTCCATATGGAATTACAGTGACAGTTGAACAGAAACTGGGGTTTACACTCGAAAAGCCAGATTACAATACACACACACACACACACACACACACACACACACACACACACATATATATATATATATATATATATATATATAATTATTACACAGAATTATCTATCTTTAACACGTGTCTAACTAATGAGAACTGACCCAAACAAAATTGAAAATATCAGTGTTTCTGTCTTTTTGTGTTTTCTCTCAATCTCTGACGAAGCTTTAATAAAACTGAAGCATGTTAGATTGATATACGCTTACTATTTGTTTCTTTATGTTATCATATATATGTATGTATGGGTGTGTGTGTATGCGTGAATTAATACAATTGATACTTAATGCAAGAATAGACAAAATAGAGATATTAGACATAGATACATAAGAAATTCCGCAATATATATATATGTGTCTGTCTGTGTGTGTATACATATACACACAAACAGAGGGATACAAACAAACATACACACGGGTAGATAAACACACACACACACAAAGAAGAAGAAGAAGAAGAAGAAGAAGAAGAAGATAAATAAAATAACGAAAATGAGAAAATCAGCAGGCAATACCTGTTACCTTCTGACGAGTGGAGCGAGCGATTACAAAAGGGTTCGTCTTTGAAACTCTAAAGTTGGGGTGTTGGATATAACAAGAAGTCATCCTCTCGTTTTCTTTTCCTTAAAGAACTCAATAAAGTTAAATATCGATCATCGATCACCAGATCAAACTATTTCTTTCTAACCTAACTAATAGCAATACTGGACACATACAGATAAAAATAATAAAATTAACATTTTCTATAAAAGCCAAATACAAGTTAACTATAAACAAGTATAATTTTCTCTTAGAAATATCATAAAGTAATATACAAGCCGAGTCGACCAGAACAAGAAAATTAAATTATCTATTATAAAAAATTCAAAACAGCTAATCTTATCATCAACAATAACACACCTGCAAGATCTAAATTACAACGAATCAATATTATTTATCGATTCACCTGGCCTTTAATGAAGTGCGTTCCTGATCAAAACAAACTCATGAATAATTATATTGAACATAACTATCAAGAAGACAAGAGTTTCCACCTCTGTGATCACAGCTCAATTAGGACTCATTTAAATACATACATAAACCTACCAAATTTCATAAAGGCTTATAATAAATACAACGATAATGACCTCCTCATCCACATGTAATAAAGACTAAAGCACTGGGGAAGCAATAATAATAATAATAATAAAGAAAAAACCAAAACTCAGTAACATCAACTACGTACACGGCCATAATATGCTGATCGTGTCTGGAAAATGAAATATTCTTATTACTCAGAATTATTAAAGACTCCAGAAAAGAAAACACAAGAAGAATTAAATAAAAAGATTAATCGCAGTTCCTGGATAGTTGTGTTTAATGAAACTTTATATATATATATATATATATATATATATATATATATATATATATATATATCTGAGAACATTGAAGCCAAGACTCAATCGTTAGGCCATGTGCCATGTATATAGATACAAAGAAGGATTGCTGTCCAAATACATAATTTTACACACACACACACACACACACACACACACATATATATATATATATATATATATATATATATATATATATATATATATATATATATATTAATGCCGACTCCGGCCCGAGTAAGTCAACATTCAAGAATATCTATTTTAAAGCTACAATTTTTTTTGTAGTGAGTTGTTTTTATTCTTGACTTCAACTGATCCAAAAGTAATCGTTTTAACCCCGTGCCTCAAAATATTGACCGAAATAAGAAAGAAAGAAAGAAAGAAAGAAAGAAAGAAAGAAAGAAAGAAAGAATATAATAAAACTAATGTGTCTAGTTGGGCTGTGTAGATCTGAGACCTTTCAGCCCTATCACACTTAATAGGCAATGTATTTCTTGCTTTAATTTTATAAATAATTTAAATAATGTATTCCGTACAGTAGAAGGTTTCCAGCGGAATGTATCATTTGAAAAGGGGCAAATTAAATTTATCCCGACTTAAATCAGCGAAAATCAAAGAAAGTGACAGCCTTAACTCGTCGATTCGGAGATTGTGATGAGGAGTGTTACTAAGGGAGTATTACGGAAATATGATATCAGTCAATTATTCCTATCTCTACCATCAGTGAAACAATCAGGCTATAAAACAATAAAAAATGCAAAGGAGTTAATAAACATATCAAAACCTTTGTCCTCAATCTTTTTTCTTACATGTCTGGAACAACAATTAAAATAAATGTTTATTTTTATAGAATTATTACAATTAATATTTAAAATAATTAATATTAAAATGCCAAATGCACAGACATTTATAAAAAATTATATATTTTAGTTTGAGTAAAGGAATCATTCTAGCATCTAGCAAAATTGTCTGAATCGTGTAACAGCCTCATTGTCCATTCCATAAAATGTTTAATATCTAAAAAAAAAACACTAAACCATGTGGGTTTTCAGATAAGACATTTAGCCATCTTGACACTATTTGTCGTAAGAATCACTAAAAAACCATTTGAATTATTCAGCTCGAAAGAGAACGGGTTAAAATCGATTTGTTTCAGCCTCACTGTCTTCCCAAATGAGCAATGGTGAGAGAAAAATAGATCATTCAGGCCTTCAGTAATGATATCAACATTCTGGCTTCCATCTTCAAAGTCCACTCCAGAAACATCAAGAGAACGGTGAATAATATTAAAAAAAGAGGGAACAGTAGAAAACTGGATTAGGAGGTCACAACAGGAAGAAGGGTCATCATTTCATCAAAAGAAATCAATTAGTAAACATCCATCTCAGTCCATAAGACGTTTGGCACGTGAGAGAAGACTTTCAGCTATGACAGTCCCAAGGGCAGTGAAAAAAGCACTTGAAAATGAAATCGTACGTGAAATCTCTGAGTCACCCTGTTACTCTAGGACAGAAGCTTCGAAGGTTAGAGGGTGTAGACCATCTTGAATACGTTGGAAAATGATCCTGGAATAATATTGTTATACCGGAACATACCTATTCTATTGTTTATAGACTCTCCAACAGATAATAAGTAGTAGTAGTGGCAGTCGCCAGGAAGCTCAGTGAGTTGAGTGAATCAGTCATTGAAGTATCAACCACCACAACTAGATTGCTGCGTGATTAACTATTATAACAAATTCCTAACGTTTTGTACGTCGAACCTATTTTAGGACCGACTTAGTGAAATACAAGCCTCCACTGTGAAAACTACTCTACAACAAATATATATATATATATATATATATATATATATATATATATATATATAATATATATATATATGAAATGTATATCAATCCTTCATCGGCTTCCGATCCTTAGCTATGATTAATTAAAGATGAACATGTCATTTTCGTTTATGATCAGTATCATCACGATTCTTCTTGGAGAGTAATTATACATTCTTATTGCTCAAAAATCTCAGAGAATTCCGGTAAGATATCTTTAATCATTTCTAAGATACACCGCTTCAAATCTTAATCTAAGAAATGGACAATTTTGCTTTTACACGATTTAGACAATTTTGCTATTGCACCAGGTATATATATATACATATATACAGAGTCTATACGTTATTTTTATGGATACAAATATTTACGTAAATGCTCTATTTATAATAAACATTTACCGGCTTGAACAGACAGGAATCGAACATGTATCCTCCACGGAACTGTCATATAGCCTGAGGCGCTATACCAGTTATGCATATATATATATATATATATATATATATATATATATATATATATATATATATATGAGGAGATCACTGGTGTGTCTCTTAATGACTCTCAAGTATAGTAATCCAGGAGGGAGGATGCAGTCCATCTGAAACACACACACAGTCATAGCTTTGTTCCTGGGTTTGACCACCGTGTCTCGCGCCCATTTCTTTCCTTAATCGCCAATTCTAACAGCGAATGCTCTTGAATCCAATATAGAAATATAGGCCTCGGCTAAACACTGATATTACAGCTGCTCCATTGTTACCACTAATAGATTTTGTTATTTTCGGCATTAACAAAATAATTTGTTTAGTTTGGTTTGGTTTATTTTTTTTATGTCATACTTATATCAACTTCAGTGGATTATTTAATGCTGACGAGATTTTTAGGATAGGTTCGTATGCATAGAAAATGTATTCTTTGTAAGAAATCAGTTTGAAGATTAGGTTTCATTGACGTATTTTTGTAAAGGTTTTGTCTTGTAATATTTTTCCTTACAAATATGTATTACTGGTAATCTTTTTTACTATGAAAATGTACTCTGCTGGCGCCTTCACTGTAAAAATGTATTTCTACACTTTCATACTGTTTCTATTTGCCTATCACTGGGACCCTAACAGATGGTGACACACAGTGTCAGAATGGCTCCTCAAAACATTCCGTTCAGAGACCTCGCTATCGGATACAGTTCATCTTCATACCAAAGATGCCTCATTGGGGGTGGGGGGTCTTACCCCTCTGCAAAGGTGCAATCGGCGTATTCTGAAGAACCAGCCGATAAGGCGTTAATTAGTTTGGATCTTTTATCTTAATTCCTCCCAAAATATTAATTAAGCCCCAAATAAAAAGAATTTATATTTACTAAAATTCGCACCAATTTTTTCAAAAGTGAGGCCTATCCATTGCACTCCGGTTGGGTAGATCTTTGTAATCGCCCCAAATGTGGACGACTTGGGTACGCTAGTTCTAAGTGTAGGGGGTCTACATTCGCGCTCACAGCGATAAACAAGCCAAAAACAGA